GTTTGCAGGACAGGGTCAGCATATGTCTCAGAGTGCAGCAAAAGTCGAGGATGTCATACAGTCCTCTAGTCTATCACTACATTTACATTTTACATTGAATCTGAATCAACTGCATTTTTGCCTCACCCTCCATCCAGTCCATATTTTTTTTGGGATGTGACTCTGATGTTAGGAGGATGCAGGCTGCATGCTGCAGGATGAATTATTTTCTTCAGCATTCAGGCACCCCTGCCAAGAAGAGACCTATTCCACCCTCCTCCTCCCCTTGAAGCTTTTCAGAGCTGTTGCCCAACCCCAGACGTGAGATATGAACCTCTCCATTAGCAGGACTCCTATTCCGGCCAGCGCTCCTCTGACATGGACATGTATCGACGTCTCCATCGAGAACAAGAGTGGGCTCATCACCAAGTCCCTTGTTCATGTCCAGCGCTTGTCAGCATGTGCTTTCATTGTGGACGACCCCAATCCCCCAAATGCCATCAAGAAGGGCATCAAGGAAGTGGTGGCATCCGCATCTGTCAGCGCCCGACGATGATTATGAAGAGCAGTGGTGCCATGAGGACAGTTTCTGTTTTTGAATTTACAGTCTCCAGTCTCCAGCTGACCAGAGTTGGTGGGAGGTGTATAGTAGGTGTTTGGATTGGATGCTTTTTTTTGTTCCTCCTTATTACTTATCCTTATTACCGATGCCGATTACCTTATTAATTATTAATTAAGTTGTAGTATTAAGTTTTTTTTTTAGTATTGTTTATTATTATTACTAAATTGTTAAATTGTTATTATCTATTTGATTGCATTGTCAGTACTGTCCAGGTCCAGTCAGCGCCATACAAGCAGTGCCCAGTATACAAATTTCAGTTCCAATGTGAATAGAATGAATATGAACCAATGCTGTGGCTGTGCGTCCAATTTCTCAGTGGTTGGTTCTTGCCATTGCAGGAATCTGTGGACCCAAGCATGCGAGATATCCAAGGCGGCCCTGGATGTCAAAAAGGCTCTGCAGGATGCAGGCTCCCTGATTCCAGCAGTCACAGGACAGGAGAAGGTTCTGGTGGAAGGCAGCACTGATAGCCTCCTGGAGTCAGCTGCTTCTGCTTCTTGGTCAGATGCTTCGTCTTGCTCAGATGTGCTGGCATTGCTGTCCAATGAGGAGCAAACCAAGGACCTACAGATGAGCAGCGCAGTGTGGTGTCCAACCTACAGGATGCCACGAAATCCATTAGTGGCGCAGTCCCACTCCTGTCACCCTCATTGACGCTTTTGCGCCTCTACTTGGACAAGCAGTGGCCGGGGGAGGGTCCCAACCACCTTGGCACTGACTCCAACTTTGGAGAAAGATGAAGATGAAGGTGAGAGTGAGGAGAGCCAGGATCTCTTGTCTAACACACTCAAAGCAGGCTGGGTGAAGATGGGTAGGGGCCTTGCCGGACTTGTCCATTACAGTGAATTTGAATTTGTCACTTTTTGGTGGCCATTTGTTGCGCATGGTCCACATGGTCCGCATGTTTGTTGTGCAGGTCCGGTCGCCAGTCACGGTCTGATTGCTGACTTTAGACTTTAATGACTCAGACAGACGGACGGTGACTGGGGTTTCATTCCACAGTTTGCAGTTTGCAGATGGCAGAAAGCCGCATTCCCTCATCACATCTACTCTGGTCAGGTCCGGTATTGCTTAGTGCCTCATTAGTTGCAAGTCTCCACGTCAATAAATAAAGCAAACAAGCAGAAGCAGCTAGCAAGATCACTGACCTTGATCTTTGGTCATCATGTTGATTCATTTTCTGAGCAGGCTTGGTACATCTTCACATCATGAAGGACAGCAGCCTCATTCCGAGTTCAGTGGCAAGGCTTGTTACCGAGCTTGCACTTGGCTTGCTGAATTTCAGCAAAGGTGATGTGTCAGCTGTGGAGGCCTGCAACTTGTGGTGCAAGGTCACGCCTTTGTTATCGAATGCTCGACGACTTCCACAGTCCACGCAGCAGACATTCCCAATCATCGAGGCAGTGCACTGTGCCTTCAAGCGCTTGGAAGGGCCCATCAAGGATGCGGTCATGGAGCAGGGCAAGAAATGTGTGCAAGATCATGGCCTGAAAGGTCCTTTGGTCTACATGAAAGAATTTTCAGAGCTTTCACCAGCGCCGCCTTGCGTGAGTGAGTTCTTCAACCTCATCAGGTCCTGGACCTCGATATCCCAGGATTCCTTGAACGCGCGGAATGCCACTCATGACCATCAAGCCCTGCTTCAGTCTTTGCCATTGTTCGTCAGGCTTGGAAGCCTATCATGCCCATGGCTTGCAGAGGTGGCAATGGAGAAGGGTTGCGAATATATTTCTTGAATTTTTTTCGTTTAGTTTTGTTTTTTTTGTTTTTCGTGTTTCGTGGTAGGTGCAGTACTTTGTGCACCTTGCAAAGCACATTTCGTGGCAGGTGCAGGACTTTGTGGGCCTTGGAGTGCAGAGTTTGTGGCAGGCGCAGGACTTTTTGTGGGCCTTGAAGTGCAGATTTCGTGGCAGGTGTAGTACTTTGTGGCCCTTGGAGTGCAGATTTTGTGGCAGGCGCAGGACTTTGTGGACCTTGAAGTGCAGATTTTGTGGCAGATGCAGGACTTTGTGGGTGTGGAAGTGTAGAGTTGTTTGTGGGCCTTGCAGTGCAGATTTCGCGGGAGGCGCAAGACTTTGTGGACCTTGAAGTGCAGATTTCGTGGCGGATGCAGTACTTTGTGGATGTTGAACTGCAGAGAGATAGAAAGATAAATTGATAGATAGATAGATTAGATTAGATTAGATTAGATTAGATTAGATTAGATAAATAGATAGATAGATAGAGGAGGCATATTTGCTTGGTTAGAAAGTTTTGCACCGGGGAGTTCACCATAAAATATTGATTTCGTGGCAGGCGCGGGTGTCGGGGATGAAGTGCA